ATGCTGATGAACCAATCCCCAAAGTCACTTATTCCGGGTCAACAACCAGAGTGACATACTGGAAACAATGTTCAAGACATTCCCTCAAGATTTTCAAAGAGGTATTACAGGTGCAGGTATTACAGGTGCAGGTATTACAGGTGCAGGTATTACAGGTGCAGGTATTACAGGTGCAGGTATTACAGGTGCAGGTATGCACAGGTATTGCAGGTATTACAGGTACAGGTATTACAGGCAGGTATTACAGATGCAGGTACAGGTGTATTACAGGGGTGCAGGTGCAGGTGCAGGCATTATTACACAGGTGCAGGTATTACAGTGCAGGTATTACAGGTATTGCAGGTATTACAGGTGCAGGTATTACAGGTGCAGGTATTACAGGTGCAGGTATTACAGGTGCAGGTATTACAGGTGCAGGTATTACAGGTGTATTACAGGGCAGGTATTTACAGGTACAGGTGCAGGTATTACAGGTATTACAGGTACAGGTATTACAGGTGCAGGTATTACAGGTGGTATTGCAGGTATTGCAGGTATTACAGGTATTATTACAGGAGCAGGTATTACAGGTGCAGGTATTGCAGGTATTACAGGTGCAGGTATTACAGGTGCAGGTAGTATTACAGGTGCAGGTATTACAGCAGGTATTACAGGTGCAGGTATTACAGGTGCAGGTATTACAGGTGCAGTATTACAGGGTGCAGGTGCAGGTATTACAGGTGCAGGTATTACAGGTCAGGTATTGGGTATTTACAGGTATTACAGGAAGAGCAAGCAAGCGAGGAAGGAAGCGATAACAAAACAGGAACATGACACATCCAACCCCCCCCCACCTCACACATTGGTTCAAGGAGTAGGGGGTAGGAAGGTAGGTTGGGTGGGTTGGGAGATCACCAAGAGGTCATATCACCTGTCTCCGCCCATGACCTGTAAATACCTGCTCACTTACCTATCCTCCGCCCCCCCTAGAAACTCTCACCCCCTTCTTTCCGTGAAAGGAGGAAGAGCGGAGTATACCCTGGGAAGAGGGACGGCCAAGGGGAAGGAGGGACATTAATATTATGGGGAAGGGGACATTAATGGGGAAGGAGGGACAGGGACGTTAATGGGGAAGGAGGGACAATAATGGGGGAAGGAGGGACAATAATGGGGAAGGAGGGTTAATGGGGAAGGAGGGACAATAATAAGGAGGGGGGGAAGGAGGACATTAATGGGGAAGGAGACAATAATGGGAAGGAGGACGTTAATGAAGGAGGGGAAGTGGAGGACATTAATGGGTGAAGGAGGGGACATTAATGACCTGGGGAAGGAGGGACATTAATGGGGGAAGGAGGAACATTAATGGGGAAGGAGGGACAGGAGGGGAAGGAGGGACGGGGAAGGCGAGGTTGAAGGAGAAGCACCTGTAATGTGAAGGAGGAGGACCTGTAGTGTGAAGGAGGATGACCTGTAGTGTGAAGGAGGATGACCTGTAGTGTGAAGGAAGGAGGAGTGTGACCTGTAGTGAGGAGGAGGACCAGTAGTGTGAAGGAGGATGACCTGTAGTGTGAAGGAGGAGGACCTGTAGTGTGAAGGAGTATGACCTGTAGTGTGAAGGAGGAGGACCTGTAGTGTGAAGGGAGGAGGACCTTTAGTGTGAAGGAGGAGGACCTGTAGTGTGAAGGAGGACCAGTAGTGTGAAGGAGGAGGACCTGTAGGTGGAAGGAGGAGGACCCAGTGTGAAGGAGGAGGACCTGTAGTGTGAAGGAGGAGGACCTGTAGTGTGAAGGAGGAGGACCTGTAGTGTGAAGGAGGAGGACCTGTAGTGTGAAGGAGGAGGACCTGTAGTGTGAAGGAGGAGGACCAGTAGTGTGAAGGAGGAGGACCTGTAGTGTGAAGGAGGAGGACCTGTAGTGTGAAGGAGGATGACCTGTAGTGTGAAAGGAGGAGGACCTGTAGGAAGGAGGAGGACCTGTAGTGTGAAGGAGGAGGACCTGTAGTGTGAAGGAGGATGACCTGTAGTGTGAATAAAGACTCGACAGCGTAACGTTGAAGGCAAGAGTCGAGTTATTAAACATTTTTCACTCAAGAGGTGAATAGTTTTACCCCTCACTTTTTACATCATCATCATCATCATCATCATCATCATCGTTCACCTGAGCACTTGACTGTCTATATAAAAACATTTCTATTTATTTTTTTCTGTCTACGAGATAAAGTTGACAGATTAAATGACTTATTGGATACATACATACATACATACATACATACATACATACATACATACATACATACATACATACATTTTGTTCATCTCAGTCCCAAGTGTTGAACAATTTATTACTGGTGGATCAATTCTACCAGTTATGGACCAATACTACCAGTGATGGACCAATACTACCAGTTATGGACCAAGTCTACCCGTGATGGACCAATTCTACCAGTGATGGACCAATTCTACCCGTGATGGACCTCTTTCAAGCATCCCAGACTCATCCATCTTGCTTACGGGTGAAAGTGAAGCAGACAGAGGAATGTTCACAGGTAACCGGTGCCATTATTGCTTTCCGGGAGGACTTGTTCCACTGAATGAACACTTAGGGAGGGAAAGTGGCCAGGGGCGCCTACACACAACACACAATGTCTCTTATTTCAGCCTAAATGAGTATACTCTGTAGTTGTGATTATGAGCTGGCGAGGGACGGAGGGATGGATGGATGGGATGGAGGGACGGAAGGATGGATGGGAGGGAGGGAGGGAGGGAGGGAAAGCAGATGTGACGGGGCTTGTGATGAGTTGGGAAAAACTGTAGTTGTGATAGATAGCGTTTACCTGTGGCGATGATGACCGTGTGTGTGTGTGTGTGTGTGTTGTGCTTGTTGTGACCAGCCGTCCGTACCCTGAACAACAAGGGGAGTAGGAGGGGAGGTACGGAGTGAGTAAGATATGGGAGGTAAGGAAGATAAGAGCTGTTAACGAGGGAGAGAAAGGAGGAAGAGAGGGAGGAAGAGGTATTCCTATAACCTCATTACTTGATGACAGTGTTCGGGGATATATCGCATGCTCGACTTTAGGTTGAAGATATATCTATAACATTTATTTCACTTTGAATTCCCCCTTCCCTAACACACACACACACACACACACACACACACACACACACACACACACACACACACACACACACACACACACACACACACACACACACACACACACACACACACACACACACACACACACACCCCTAATCAACAACAAGCAACAAACGACCTGGTTCTTAATTACCACATAGTGAAGGTGAAAGAAAAATCAAACCACTTTCCTTTCTCATTATCCACAGGTGCTAAGAATACCCTCCCCCCCGCCGTGCAGCCTTCACCACGACCTTCCCTCCCTCAGGCACCACACAGCCGACGGGGCAGGAAGACCCGTTATTAAACCTCGATAATAACTCTTAATACGCCTCAACCGGTGCTTTTTTTCTAGCGTGTCGGAGGTCTCGTCGAAGCGTCTTAATCGCATATGAATGATCGGGGTGAAAGTGATAATGTGGAATGGTTGAGAGTAGTTCTTCAATCTCTCGTCAGTCCTAATGATGGAGAGAGAGGATGAAGGAGGGTTTAATTGGTTGTGGAGGTGATGACGGGGTGATTAGGTGGAAAGTTGGGCAGTAGGGGGTCTATGTCTGTCTGTCTGTCTGTCTGTCTGTCTGTCTGCCTGTCTATCTGTCTGTCTGTCCTATCTCATCACTACGACAATCATCACACCTGTCCCAGTACACAAAAGGTAGACAACATGTACATCCCAGGTGTTACACGAAGAGGGGTCATACACTTGACCTGTTTATATACACAGAGAGAAGATTATACTGGTCTTGGATCTCGAACCTGTCTCTCTCTGAAGCCAGTCTAGTACCCCCCCCCCCCCTCCTCCCCACACACACACAAATATTCGAGGTTTGTGTGTTTTTTTCTCCCTGTGTATCTGTGTAAGCTATTCATCAACTGACAACACACATTATCATCATCTTCATCATCATCATCATCATCATCATCATCATCACCATCATCCCGGACACCGCTCCTCCTCTGGGATACCCTAAAAAAAAACGTAAGGGTCTGGATGGTTTGGAGCCCTGGGGCGAGTATCCTGTTCAGGTCCCCAGAGGAGGATCCGGTTGCGCCCCCCTCGTTAAGAGCTCCTGGATGATGAAGTTGTTGGGTCAGTAAAGTTTTAGAGTCCCTGAGCCTCTTGTAACACTCTAAAGAAGGTGTATTAGAGGCTCCTTAACTCAGTCCTACAGGGTACTACTCGACAAGGCTCCATCTAGAAGGGATTTATCAGCATGACTTTTGTAGGGGACTACTTGATAAAGCTCAAATAAGAACGCCTCTTTGACAAGGTCCCCTGGAAAAGGAATAGACTTCTCTCCAGTGTTGGGCAGGATACCTATAGAGGACTCCTGAACAGTAGATGGGAGTTATGGAAGGGTCGATCTGTAAAGGACTCCTCAACAATGATCATGGAGAGGATTTCTGTGAGGAACTCCTTAACAAAGATCAACGAAGGAGAGACTGCACAGCGATCCTTTACGGTGTCTCCAGATTTGAGAATACCTGAAGGAAACTCCCGCCCCAAGAGGAGAGCGTGACGGAGACAGTGGATGAGTCTTTAAGTGGCCACCAAGGCGGAAAGGTTCGGGTCACCTGTCCATGCATCACGAGTAATGACAACACCCACGGGCCAGATCACACCTCATGCCTGCCACACTCGGGGTTCAGTAGTAAAAACAAGTCTCGGGAACTTCTTCATATGTACAGATTTAAAGGACACGTACATGTTTAAGGATAAGTACAGTGGAGGTGACTTACATATGGTTAAAAAACAAACATGCCTTAACCTCAAAGGAACTAAGATAACACTTGAGTCTATGATGTAAAAAAGTACTGATGGTAATTCCGGCTGGTGACCTTAACACTACTTCCCATCACCGCGTCAACAAAGAAAACAAAACTCACCTTCAGGTCCCTTCAGCATCTCCAACTCGACGGAATAGTCCCAGTACTCGAGGGAATTCTGACCAGAGTCCGTGTGGGGCAACTTGTACTCTCGGGCACGCAGGAATTCCGCAGTTGAGTTCCAGGTCCGCCCCGTTCCCACCGTAGTCAGGCGCCACTCCATGACTCTACTGCCGCGGCGACGTTCTGAACTACTGACTGACTTGACTGGATCACTAAGGTCGTCTCTCTCCTCGGTGGGTGACAGATGGGTGTATCACGCGGTGTTCTGGACGGCTAACTTGCTGGATAACCGTCTGAAGCGCTTCTGTCTCACCTCACCTGTTTCCTCTCCCTGAATGACGGAGAGGTGGGTGGGTGGTGGTGATGTAGCGAGATTTTAAACTTACACACACACAGATAATCTCCCTGCGGGGCTTAAGACAGCCTGAGGGCGTGTGGCGGAAGAGTTGAATTTCAGAATGGAATGAAAGTCAAAATGTGAGGGAGTGACCGATATCAACACACATACAGAATCGTCTTTTTTCCACAGTTGTTGTAAATGTCTCAATCTATCAGGAGTTGAGAGTCACGCTATTTTCTTCCTTCTCTCTCACTCCAGATTACAACACTATCTTCCCTCGTCAGGTATAGTTGAGGAAAGAAAGTCTCAACATCTATGTATTTCTCACGTGTCTTGTGTGTGTCTCTTATGTTCAGATTAATCTTGCTGGGAAATTGTGGCTTCAAGTTTCTGAAATAACACTTTGCTAGTCACTGATTTTAAGTTCTGTTTTTATTTTATTTATTTCCTGGTTCTTGGTGACGTAACGCTTGAGGGTGGCCAAAAGACGTGTCGTGACGTCACAAACCACGTGGTAACCTCAGCACGTGGTGACCCCTGACACGAGGCACCAGGTGAGTGACCGTAAACAACAGTGTGCCACAAACTCACACGACTAACAGGCCTGTAACACCTCGCTCTGCCATCCTCGTCTCATTGAACACAATCACCAACACAATTTTTCTCATAATATCTGAAAACAAAAGATTCCCACAGTTGAATGTCAAATTAACACATGTCTTTTGCATCATTATTGCAGAGAGGAAAGTTTTGTGCAATAAAATAATGATAGATGCTGTAATGTTGACTCCACACAACACAACACTCCCTCAGGCGCCCAAACGAATATTATTTACAAATCACAGCCTCAATACACCCAGTACACACACACACACAGGTAAGATAATTAACAACTGAGTCTGGTGGTGTATGTTGCAGGTAATTTATGAAAGGTTAGTTTATAATGGCCGTATATATGTCAGGTGTTAAGTGGGAGGACGATGATGTGTAAGCAACTGATTGATCGATTATATGCGACATTGAGAATATTATACAACGTTATTATTATTATTGTTGTTATTAAAGTAAGGTCAGGTGAGGTCAGCACCAACACCTAAAACTGGGAGGTACACTTGCAAAACATTATGGTGAACGAGGACCAATCAACAATCGCCATGCCCGCATACACGTGGATTCCATCAAATTTTCACCAGACCACCGTTTACAAGAATCTCCTTCCCTCCCTCCACCACCTACCTCCCTCCCTCCCCCAGGTGAAATAAACTAGGGGGCTAATCTTCAGGTGATCAATGACAAAATCGGGCCAAGACGATCAAACACTACCTCATGGCTCTCAGTAAATACCGGCCTACGCATAATGTGGCAATGACATACACAGGTACAAGACAGGCGAGTCGAATAGTAATGACAGCCAATTACCTGTGTGTTACCTTACTCTGTTATCTAAATGGGCCGAGCTAATGGTCATGTAATTAAGTTTTTATCGAATTAATGGATAATATGTAAATTAATGGGTGAGAGAGAGAGAGAGAGAGAGAGAGAGAGAGAGAGAGAGAGAGAGAGAGAGAGAGAGAGAGAGAGAGTGCGTGCGTGTATGCGTGCGTGCGTGCGTGTGTTCTCTTAACTTCCACACTTACAAGAAAGAAAATATCGTAAGAACTTTTCAGATTTCACCATAATTTCATATTATAGCTTGGATGATATTTACGAGAATTTCAGAATGTGTCGTAGCTTAAAGTGAGACAGTTAGATATTTTCTGTCTGTCTGTCTGTCTGTCTAATACACAAGCTCCCCCTTTCTCTTCCATCTACACCCATCCCACCCACACGACCACCCACTCCTCTCCTACACCTCCACCCATCCCACCCACTTTCCTCTCCACCCCATCCACACGAGTTACCCGGGGAGTGAGTCACTGTTCTTAAGTGGATGAATCATGCCCTCTCACCCCCCTCTCCCCTCTCCTCTCTCCCTCCCTCTCTCCTCCCACCTCCCTCCCTCTCTCTACTCTCCCTCACAATTTATTATTATTTCAAAACCAACAGCGTTACGTTAAGTCAGTTGGGTCTTTATTTTCATGAGTCATACCAAGTGTTCTTATCTGTGTGTATGTGTGTGTGTGTGTGTGTGTGTGTGTGTGTGTGTGTCTGTCTGTCTGTCTGTGAGCGGCTAGAAGGTTAGAAGAACCGGAGACAGACAATACGTATACATTTTGGGGGTGAGGGGGGAGGGGTAAAGGGGGGAGGGGTAAAGGGGGGAGGGGTAAAGGGGGGGAGGGGTAAAGGGGGGGTGTGGGGGATGAGGGGGAGCTTCTAAAGAGAGACAAGAGCAGTTCCCAAAGTTAGTTATTTCTTTAGGCCTGACTGGGAGGGGGGGGAGGGGGGGACAAACACGCCTTTATCACAACCCGGGTTTAGTGACAGTGCAAGAATTACTATGTTCAGGGCGTGACAATGGAGGTGACAACAATGTGTTTTGTCTTGTCTTCCCTCTCCTCTCCTCTTCCTCCCGTCTCCTCTCCTCTTCCTCCCGTCTCCTCTCCTCTCCCTCCCTCTCTCTCTTCCTGCCTTCCAATCCGTCTCCTCGTCTCTCTCTCCCTCCATCTATCTTATTTTCTCTCTCTCTCTCTATTCCTTCTCTTATTCCTTACTCCTCTCCCTTACACATCTGTTTATTTTCCTCCGTTATTCCTCCTCCTTTTCCCTCACTCCTCCCACTCTCCCTCACTTCTCCCACTCTCCCTCCTCCTCTCCTCCCCTCCACTTTCCCTCTCCCTCTCCCCCTCTCCCCTCCTCTCCCTCTCCCTCCTCCTCCCTCTCCCTCCTCTCTCCCCTCCCTCCCCTCCCCTCTCCTCTCCCTCTCCCTCTCCCTCCCTCTCCCCTCACTTCTCCCCTCCTCTCCTCCCCCCTCCTCCTCCTCCTCCCTCCTCCTCCCTCTCCCTCCCCTTCTCCCTCCCTCACTTCTCCCTCTCCCTCACTCCTCCCCTCTCCTCTCCTCCCTCCTCCCTCCCCTCCTCCCTCTCCTCCCCCTCCCCTCCTCCTCCTCCCCTCTCCTCCTCTCCTCCCCCTCCACTTCTCCCTCTCCCTCCCACTTCTCCTCTCCCTCACTTCTCCTCCCCTCCCCTCCTTCTCCTTCTCCCTCACTCCACCTCTCAGCAACACTGAAGGTAAGGTAGCCAGCATAGTGTGGGGGTGGGGGCAAGTCTTTGTGGGGTGAGGGAGGAATCTTTGTGGAGGTGGGGAGAGAGGATAGGGAAGGGTGGGAGAAGGTGAGAGGGAAGGGAGTGAGGGAGGTGAGGAGGGAGTGAGGAGGGTGAGAGGGTGAAAGAGGAGGTGGAGAGGGGGGTAGAGGAGAGGGAGAGAGAGGGGTGGGGAGGGAGGGGGAGAGTGGGGGAGGGAAGGGGGGGAGAGGGAGGAGAGGGAGAGGAGGAAGAGAGAGGGGAGTGAGGAGAGGGGAAGAGGAGAGAGAGAGAGGGAATGAGGAGAGGGAGGAGGGAGGAGGAGGGAGGAGAGGGGTGGGAGAGAGGGGGGGTGAGGGAGAGAGAGGGGAGAGGAGAGAGGAGGGGGAGGAGTTGGAGAGTGGAGGGAGGGGACTGTCTCCAGCTCTTTCCTCCAACCCCCCAACATTACGTCGTTACAAACAAATGGTGTCCAGAATGCTTAATTATCTCCAGCAGTATTGTTCTTGTGTTTGGAAATGTGTTTGAAAATGTAATGGAAATGTAAGGAAATGTTTTTTGAAAATGTGTTTGGAAAATTGCTTGGAAATGTGTTTGGAAATGTAAAATAAAAGACAAAATAAAAATATAAACGAAAGAATTAGGTAAGTGATATAGATGCCATGGGGTGAAGAACAAATTCCACGTGTATGCGGGTATGACGTACGGTGATTGGGTGTTCGTCTGCCCTGATATCCACAACTATTCCTCCAAAACTAACCTAACCAAACCAAATCTACCTTAACCTAGACTAACCTAACCTAATCCTCCAATACAAACTACCCTGACCTGACCTGACCTACAGACAATAATCACAGGAACAGCCATTCTTCTTCAGTATTGTTAGACATTGTTTTAGCATCTATTTTGATTCCAATTTCCTCCCCCCCCATACTATTTGACTCCACTTCCCCCAACCTGTCTTCATCAGCGGCTATTTGTTGTGATTCCATTTCCCCCCACGATCTATCCTCCTGACGGGGCATCTACCTCTGTCTCTCTACCCTCAGCCTCCCTCCACCACCTGTCACCTTCCCTCCAATCACTCTACATAGGCCACACAGAAGAGAATTACCCGTCACACATACATCAGGACAGGTGAGACGGAAGTAACGCACCTTGTCACGCTCGCCCAGGTATGTTACGCTCCTACGCCAGTTACGGACACCATTAGGAAACACATGTACTCTCTCTCTCTGTCTCTCTCTCTCTCTCTCTCTCTCTTAACCAGTAGGGTGTTGACTCTCTCGCTTCACCTGACCCTCACAACTGGTTTCAAGGGCAAAGTTTGCATCACTGGTGGCTCGCTTACACCTACCGCCCCCTCCCCTACACCACCCCTCTCCTCCCCCTACACCTACCACACTTCTCCCCTCCCTTACACCTGAGTATACCTATTGTTTACTACACCTTTCCAACACATATTAGTGACTCCCTACACCTATACAACACCTGGGAAGGGGGGGATGGAGGGGGTGCAGGTAGAAGATTATATAAAAAATACTTGCTTAGTAAACTCTCTCTCTCTCTCTCTCTCTCTCTCTCTCTCTCTCTCTCTCTCTCTCTCTCTCTCTCTCTCTCTCTCTCTCTCTCTCTCTCTCTCTCTCTCTCTCTCTCTCTCTCTCTCTCTCTCTCTCTCTCGTCTTCCTCACCGGTACAGACAGATTGGTATGTGAGGGAAGAGGGGTGAAGGAGGGGGGTGAAGGAGGGGGTACTGGCATGTTGTTGGGTAAGTCACTTCGGTCGATTACCAGAGAGGACATACCGGACCACGACCTGCCATGGGTGTGAAACGACTACGACCTGTCCCCACCACTATTACCACGACCTATCCCACACTACCATCTGACAAACACACCCATTTCCACCCTCACCCCACACACATCCCCACCCATCCCCCACACACACATCCCCACCCATACAGCCCCCACACATCCCCCCGCCCACACACACCCCACCCCCACACACATCCCACCCATACAGCCCCATACACATCCCCACAGCCCCCACACCCCACCCACCCCCACCCATACATCCCCCCCCCACACACCACATCCCCACCCATACAGCCCCCACACATCCCCCACCATACATACATCCCCACACACACACACCACATCCCCACCCATACAGCCCCACACACACACATCCCCACAGCCCCACACACACCCAAAACACATCCCCCCCCCACACACACATCCCCACAGCCCCCCACACACATCCCACCATACAGCCCCCACACATCCCCACCCATACAGCCCCCACACAGCCCCACACATCCCAGCCCCCCCACACACACATCCCCACCATGCCCCACATCCCCACCACACACCACATCCCCATCCATACATCCCCACCCCACACACCCACATCCCACCACACCCCCCCACACACCATCCCCACCCATACAGCCCACCCCACACACACATCCCCACCCACCCCACCCCCCACACACACACCCACACGTGATTAGTTCCCTATCATCACTCCTCAGTTTAAGGTTTGATGTAGCAGAGGAGGATGTGGCAACACTGGGCAACGAGAGACTTCAGTGGATCAAGGAGGAGGAGGAACAAGAAGGTAAAGGAGGAAGAGCAGAAAAAGAATAAAGAGGATGTAAAGAAGGAACTGACCACCATTAAAATAAGTGGAATATTTCGCCACACTTCCGGAATTATTTTCATCAACCGGACATGTTTAGATTTTTTTATTTCGATTTTTTTTTATTATTCTCGTAGGATTAAAGGTCAAGAACATCGGTCCCCGGAGACTGTTTTAACCTAACCTAACCAAACCAGAGACTGTTTTAACCTAACCAAAGACTGTTTTATCCTAACCAAACCAGAAACTGTTTTAACCTAACCAGAGACTGTTTTAACCTAACCTAACCAAACCAGAGACTGTTTTAACCTAACCGAAAATGTGACTTGGTTAAGAATTTAAAATGGTTAAGGATGAAGTTAATGTACATAAGACAATTATTTTCTATATACTCTGTCAATCTATCTATCTGTCTGTCTGTCTGTCTGTCTGTCTGTCTGTCTGTCTGTCTGTCTGTGTCTGTCTTTCTCTCTCTGTATGTCTGTCTCTATCTCTCTGTTTTTCTGTGTCTATCTCCCCTCCTGTCTGTCTGTTTGGATAATACCACATAATTCCGACTTGCAGTTCTCCTCGTACACCTGTAATCACTTAATCTTTACCTGAATTCACAAGAGCTCGTAAGATATATTTTCTTTTTTACCTAAACCTGACAAAACGTCTCTAACTACATCATTTATAACAAAACACAAAATTATCCCCTAAAACAACAAGAAAGTCAAATTTACCTTAAGAGGCTAACTCAAATTTACAAAGTATCGTAAGATCTTTTTTTTAATCGTAACTACAAACGTATGGAGTTATGAGGGATCGAAACTCTACCTTAACTTGATACATTCACTTAACCCAGGAAATAGCTCAGAGGTTGTAAGGAAGGGCGCGGTGGAATGTGCTGCAGAGGGGTGAACTGTACAGGTAGTGAGTACAGGTAGTGAGTACAGGTAGTGAGTGCAGGTAGTGAGTGCAGGTAGTGAGTACAGGTAGTGAGTACAGGTAGTGAGTACAGGTAGTGAGTACAGGTAATGAGTACAGGTAGGGAGTGCAGGTAGTGAGTACAGGTAGGGAGTATAGGTAGTGAGTACAGGTAGTGAGTACAAGTAGGGAGTACAGGTAGTGAGTACATCCAGTAAGCACAACACCAACCAGAACCAGTTACCTCCCTCCCAAAAAAAAAAATCAAGACGATCTCCAGGCCAAGCAATCAATATCGCCGGGCGTTCCTTCACACAACCACACCTCCCAAAACGACGACACGGAACTACGCCAGATGAAGCGTTCGCCAGTGTCTTCTGCGTTGTTTTATGGCACAAGTAATATGTAATGGTATTTTAGCATCCGGGGCCCCAGGCAGGTGTACGTGTTACCTGTGGGACGGAGAAAACAGGTAGGAAGAAGCGGCAGGTGTTGACGCCAGAGAGTTGGACAAGTTTCTTTAGGATAATAATGTTGTTTGACTCAGCTGTGGTGATTATGCTGGTCAGGGTGGGGGAGGTGGTGAGGGAGGCAAGGGGGGAGGGGTAGGGGTGGGGAGGGAGGAAGGTGGTGGGAGGGAGAGAAGGTGGGGTGAGGAGGTGGGGTAGGGGAAAGGTGGGGTGAGGGAGGGGTGAGGTGTGGGGTGAGAAGGTGGGGTGAGGTGGGGTGAGAGGGGGAGAGAAGAAAGGGGTGGGGAGGGAGAGAAGGTGGGGTGGGGAGGAGGAGAAGGTGGGGTGGGGAGAAAGAAGAAGGTGGGGAGAAGGGAAGAGTTGAGTGGGGAGGGAGAGAGGGGTGGGGAGGAGAGAAGGTGGGGTGGGAGGGGAGAGAAGGTGGGTGGAGGAGAGAAGGTGGGTGGGGAAGAGAAAGGTGGGGTGGGGAGGGATAGAAGGTGGGGTGGGAGGATAGAAAGGTGGTGGAGGATAGAAGGTGGGGTGGGGAGGGATAGAAGGTGGAGTGGGGGAGGGAGAAGACGGGGGAGGCTACAGTAAATAAATGTTGTTAAGTTTATTAAGACCGGCAGGGACTGGTTAATCTTCCGACCCGGATGTTCGTACCGTTAAAAGCTAACTAACCTAACCTAACCAAACCTAACTTGACCTTCCCTCAACCTAACCTAATCTAACAACCTACCACCCATAATTTAGCCCATAGTGGCAAACTGACTCCAGCGAACACCTGACAACACAGACACGATACTGACAACAAACTGACCCCAGCAAACACCTCACTGACAACACCACCTCGGTTACAACACACATAACACTGTGATTGTGGGGAATAACTACCGCTTGGTGAAGGTAGTTTGCTCGTTACGATGTTTGTAATGACGACGACACAACTGGTCATTTGAACTTGTTTGGTGTTGTTTATGCTGGTTGGCGAGAGAGAGAGAGAGAGAGAGAGAGAGAGAGAGAGAGACTTCCACACTATACCCTCGATATGAAGACCGATTTAACCAGCCAACCACCACCATCACCCACTATCCATACAGGTTATAAAAAGTTATATCACGCCTCTAGATATTCAAAACAACACCTATGTAACATCTTGAGCTAACTGATAACATAACCCGAGATAACAGCCTCCCACGATAAGCCACCAGCGATAACAGACAGGCAGTGATAAGACAACCACAAGAGTGTCTGGATTTAAACACCAATGTACAAGCTCTCTTATACCCAGGATGGACGACAGAGTAGAAACAACCGATTATATATATGAATTATTTCGGGTTTTTCTTCCTATGATGGACTTAGGACTCGCTAATCACCCTAACTTAACCTAACCTGAAACTAGAACTTAAGTTAAACTAAACTAACTTTGCCTATCTGTATAATATTAATCTAACCTTGAGTTCATCTAATCCAGACCAAACTTAACCTAACCCAAGCCAAACCTAACCTAATCCAAACTTAACTCAAGCCAAACCTAACCTAATCCAGACCAAATTAAGGCAACTATCATTCATGAAAACACCACGAAAATACACGTAATACTCTAGACCACATAACTAGCTCCAATAACCGTCAAACTACCTTAATAACTGTCAAACTACCTCATCGTCTAAACTGCCTCGCCACACTCCCAAATAACTCCTTCTACCGCAACGGTCGTCAGAGGGAGTTACCGGGGGCGGGGGGGAGAGAAATGATTACTACTATTACTGTTTTATCTTACTACTACTACTATTATTTTACTACTATTACCACTACTACTACAACAAAACTACTACCATTACTACTACTATTTATACTGTTGCTACTACTACTACAATATTTCTACCATATTACTATTATAAATCAATATATTACAGCACAGGTATAGTAAAGGCTCCAGAATCAAACTACAATTAAGGGGTTCTATTGAAGGCTCCCACTGACAGCACAGGTTCTAACTCAGTTCTAGAGTAGTGAAAGTTTCAGGTACCACCGAGAAGAACCTTGACGAAGACGTGTTTCAGCGTTCCTCAGGTAGCAATCAAGGCTCGCATATAATTTGGTCTGTGTTGTTTGACAAGGTTCTGGTGTGTTTGTATGCTAAGTGTATGTGTGCGTAGAACTAACATACGAGTATATATTTATTTTACATATATATATATTCAATGCAAATTAAATATCCTTATATATCAACAGCTTTAGTCTATATATATACTCAAGGGAAATTATATATCTTTCATATAGCAATTCCTTCCCTCTTTGACACACACTCTGCACCAATAACAAAACATAATATAACTCAGTCAAACGCCCAGTCAGTCAAGAATCACAGCCATTAACCCAACAAACACAAGTTAATAAAAAAATAGACTGAAAACAATAAATTCACCGAAAACATAAAAAAAAACAAAAAACAAAAAACGTTCTCATGATTCGAAGTAGATTTCAAACCCTCAATAGGACCCTGAAACCTTTGTGGTGTCCGACGTGATCCTTTCAGCCACGAGTCTTGGGTGATAAACGAGGGATTTGTCGTCTTTCGTCACCCAGCTTATTCTACCACACCCCCCTTCCCTCCCTCCCTCACATACACTGAATAGATTGTAAAACGTGAGGTATTTGAAGCCTATTTTTACTACCAATTATCTAGGGGTACTGACAATGGGGTATTTTTTTTTAATTGTCACTACTTCATCAGCCATCCATGTGTGTGTGACGGAAGTGGTATGTGAAGTTTTTTGTATATCGCCAGACAGCCAGTGCTAAGTCATTGTTCTCTGCCATCGCCTCCACAAGTGTCCAAGATCGGTTACAGTTCGAGTCAGTTCGTCCGATGTTTACTACTAAGTGTGGCAGGCGAACGTCAGCAGCGAATACAAGTCACAACACCCTGTTCATGTCTGGTAAACACACACACACTTAACGAATATCAAGTTCAAGTAAGCACAAGTAGTAAAAATACAAGTGTCTAAATATTATAAAACACTCAAGTCAATCTTGGTTTTTTAAGACTTTTGACAGGCACACAAAGGTAACGAAAACTTAAGTTGAGGTAAACACAGGCAGCGAATAATACTGTAAGAGTCCAGTTGCCGACCTGAGGAGCGGTTGCTACACACGCGTCCGTCGTCTGTGACGGTAGGTCTGTTACTGAGCTCCGCGCGCCAGGTCGGCTTCTCAAGGCGCTTTTGAGGCACCAAGTGAGATCGCACAGGGCAGCAGTGAACGGAAGGAGACTGGCGGACGGAAGACTTGGCGGATGGCCTCAGGGGGTCAGGTCGTGAAAGAGAAGGTACACAGTAAGAGCTCGTCGGCACCGACCTGGGGAAGGGCACACGAGCGTCTCCCACACACCGACAGGAGGCTCCTTCACTCTTGTGTCTGAATCCTGGGGAAGGTTCCTGGGGGGTGGGGGGGGGGTTCTCTCACTCACACACACACACATTCTCCCTGTTTGTCTCTCACTCATCAACCATTTACAGACTTCTCTCCTCAATAGACGCCAGAATATAACCTAACCCCAAAAGATCAGTGAACTGTTGTCATTCTTCTCCAGCCGCTGGTGTGTGTGTGTGTGTGTGTGTGTGTCCTCAACGCACCGAGAACCCACACTAGCGGGTCTTCCCTCCGTGAGTCAAACACAAGTCCTTCAAGTCCAGTGCGTCAAAATCGATCATCAAATAACCACCACAAGCCCAATGCGTCCTTTGCGTTAACAACTGTCTATCTCGTGCGTCAAAAATTATATACGCCACACAGTTCATTGTCCGTGCGTCAAAACCTGTACTGTATATACTCAGTCAGATGCATAATCGACAGTGTGTGGTCTGCGTTCACCCCATCGATCAGTCAAGGGGCCCAGAGGGAGGTGCGTGTTGATGCTAGTCTCTTATTAAAGACTTTGTGTGTGTGGGTGTCTACTTAAATTATGGCCGATGGCTGCCCCCCCCCTCAATCCTCTTCCTTCCTCTCTCTCCATTCACTTGCCTCTTCCCCCCACATTTTCCTCCTCTCCCTTCCCTCCCTCCTCATTTCCCTTTCCCACCCTTCTCCTCCTCCCTCCCCCGTCCACCTCCTCTTCCCTCCACCATCTTCTCCTACAATGGTCGTGTGGTCGATGGAGGATCAATCGACCAAGATAGGGCTCACGAACCTCTTCCGGTCTCGTGCTTCCCCATGGATCGACCAGACGACCATAAACTCTACCATGTGAGAATCAAGCAACACTCTGGATGGGTCATAAATGTTATCAAATATCGACCAGAATGTTAACCCTTGTCGATGTCCCGTAGAATCGACCAGGCTATCCAAAATTCGACCAATATTAATATTATTATTAGTAGGTAATAGTAGTAGTGGTAATAGTAATATCAATAGTTGCAGTAGTATAAATATGTAATAATAGTAGCAGTAGTAGTAGTAGTAAGTAATAAAGTGGCGGCGAAGGTGTGGCTATTGGGGAAGGATGAAGGCCAATTAAAAATAAATAAATAAAAAAAATTAAATAAAGTAAATAGCAGTAGTAGTTAGTTGTTAGTAGTAGTAGTAGTTGTAGTAGTTGTAGTTGTTGTTCATGTTGTTGGTAGTAGTAGTAGTAGTAGTGGTAGTTAGTGAAAGGTATCGAATATTTGCTGGGTAAAACACTTCCGTATTAGTCGTGGATGACTTGAGGGTTGTAGTGATAGCGAATTTCTTTCTTTTTTACTAGATTTTTTTCTCTTTTTTTCTTATTCGTTCAACCTGTTTTTCTACTATAATCATCTCTCTCTCTCTCTCTCTCTCTCTCTCTCTCTCAATTTACTTTTCAAACTACTCACTTTCTTTTCATAGTTCAAGGTCTCATTTTTTTTATTTTCTTTCGTTTTCTTCATATTCTTATTTTTCTTTCGCGTAATTATTCCCTTTTCTTCTTCATTCATGTATTTATTCTCTTGTTTTGTCTCATTTCCCGTCTTTATTTGCGTTTGTTTCAGCTCCAGCGACAACCTAGAGACGCAGGCAAACATCATCGCCAGCACAGGCAATCAAAGAGCACCTGCCGTCTCCTTCCATCACATAACAATAAAGATTTACGCCAGGCAAACAACAACGCCAGCACGAGCAATCAAACAGCGTCCGTGGCGTTCATTTCCATCCCATCAACAACACAATGATCTCGAGTTTACGCCAGACGATGTTCACTCGTCTTTCTGTCGCCAGCACTGACGTTCAAACACGCCAAGAATTATTATAACAAAAACAAAAGACAATCAACCAAAATACCATAACAAACCATCATGTTGTTGTAACCGACCTAATTAATTACCATAGGAGTAATATTAGATCACTTCTATATGAGTTACGGTGGTGGAGTCTCGGTACAATATCGACGCCATCTTGTTCTACCACCGCCAGCTGATGATAAACGAGCCGAGCCGAGGCGAGACGAGACGAGCCGACATGAGCCGAATGATAAAGTTCTGAGTAGTTTAAACGATATTTTGGTCTACTTGTTAGTAATAGCAGCTGACGTGAGGCAGATAAACGAGTTCCCACACCTCCATTTAGAGGATGAGGAGGAGGAGGAAGAGACATAAAAAGGAGGAGGAGAAAGAGGAGGAGGAGAAAGAGGAGATTGATAAAGAGGAGGAGGAAGAGGAGGGAGAGGGAAGAGAATGAAGATGAAGAGGGGAAGAGAAAGTGGAGGAGGAAGAAGGAAGAGAAAAAGGAGGAGGGGAAGTAGGAAGATTATATAAGCATAGAGGAACCTGTGAGCAGGAAGAAGACAATATCTTACCATGAGAGTGTGTCAGCTCCTGGCCAAACTACTTTCATTGTGTTGCAACGGTCAAAAGAAGCACAGCATCTAGATCACAGCAGCTCCTAGATCACAACAACTCCTATATCACAACAGCTCCTAGATCACAGCAGCTCCTAGATCACATCAGCTCCTAGATCACATCAGCTCCTAGATCACAGCAGCTCCGAGATCACAGCAGCGCCTAGATCACAGCAGCGCCTAGATCACAGCAGCGCCTAGATCACAGCAGTGCCTAGATCACAGCAGCGCCTAGATCACAGCAGTGCCTAGATCACAACAGCGCCCAGATCACAACAGCGCCCAGATCACAACAGCGCCTAGATCACAGCAGCGCCTAGATCACAACAGCGAGATCACAGCGCCTAGATCACAGCAGCGCCTAGATCACAGCAGCGCCTGAGATCGATCACAGCAGCGCCTATCACAGCGCCTAGATCACAACAGCACCCAGATCACAGCAGCGCCTTGATCACAGCAGCTCCTAGATCACAGCAGCTCCTAGATCACAGCAGCGCCTAGATCACAGCAGCTCCTGGTGTCACAGCAGCGCCTAGATCACAGCATCACAGAAGCGCCTAGATCACAGCAGCTCCTGGTGTCACAGCAGCGCCCAGATCACAGCAGCGCCCAGATCACAGCAGCGCCTAGATAACAGCAGCGCCTAGATCACAACAGCGCCTAGATCACAACAGCGCCTAGATCACAGCAGCTCCTAGATCACAGCACCACGTAAGACATGTAAATCCTTTTTGCACTATGTTAAGTTATGTTGTGAGGTTAGGTTAGGTTAGGTTAGGTTACTTTCAAAGAAGAAAAACCCAAGTCGAAGTCTTTCCTCCATTCTTAAATTGTCATAAAAAAAGTTGCCAACGGGACCACACTCCGGGACCTTGGAAGCACCCGCCACTTTAAGGAGGTCTAGGGCACCTTAATAACTTCTATGCACGGAGGACGTCACGCCAGAGGAGAGGATGTCACGCCGAAGGATATCACGCCGGAGGATGTCACGCGCGTGCCGCAATAATGACATGATGTGATATTGGCTAAACGTGGGAGTACCTCAAGGCTGCGGTTTACCTCCCTCGCTGTTTAGTTTAGTAGCTATAAATCCATGAAGCAATAACGCATGACACACGGAGAGAGAGAGAGAGAGAGAGAGAGAGAGAGAGAGAGATATTACGGGAAACTAAAAAAAAAAAATTACTTGGGATTACCAGAAGGTTAGCCTCGTCCCCTGCTTATTTCATCTGACGGGGGGGTGTGGTTAGGTTAAGGGTGGTTACTCTTAAGGTGAAATAAACTAAAGGCTGTCTAATCTTCACATGATCCGTTATTTCAGAAACTAAAAAAAAAATAAAAAAATAAATATATATCCATTGAGCTGAGACAAGGTTTTAACGTGAGGGAGGGGGATGATAGTGCAATACTGCTAAATGATAATGACAGAGTGGTAACTGTTGCAATTACTGGTAGCGGATGTTGCTATTTAGGAATACAAAAAAAATATTCTAAGAAAAAAAACAGGAATATATTTTTAGGAAGTTACGTAGCGGACTGAGAGGTACATCAAGCAGGATCGACTGTTTGAGTTTACACGAACGACAAAGAGTGATTGGTGAATGAATCCGACTGAATCCGAGAACCCTGCAGGTGACCGTGTTTACAAAGCGTGATTGACGAGAGGCGAAGGTAGGAAGGAATGGAGAGAGAGAGAGAGAGAGAGAGAGAGAGAGAGAGAGAGAGAGAGAGAGAATTAAGAGCTTAGTCTAAACGTAAACAACCCGAAAAGCTTAACTCATTACTCTGCCATCAATAAACTCACTTGGCAAGCTTAAATCACCACCTAAGCTCAACTGTTGTGAAGCTTAATCACCTACACACACACATAAATTGATGTAGTCGAGATCACATAAAATCCGAGAACGAGACCCTTAGCAGTCGAGATCGAGACCACTAGGAAATTTTAACATTCGAGTCTCGGTTCATACAAGTTTATTACCTTGAGTAACCTGAATCACCTTGTCCTAGAAGCATAATGACCATGACCCATGACGGGTGACCTGAGGCAAGATAAAATCGATGGTCTATCTATGGTCTCGTAAGGTCTCGATCCCAAATCCAAGACCAGAGCATTCGAGATCGAGACGAGGTACAAGAGGACTCGAGGCCAACACCTGCTTCACACTCACCTTAGCACCTCCCGGAACCTCATCACGACACCTGGCTTCGTATACTCCTCACACGTACCTGTTAATGAGAAGAGATACAACTTTATTAGTGATTATAAATTTCCACTGCAAAATTGTCACTAAAAAGATGAAAATTATTAATGTTTTTTTTTTCGCTTAGGTCACTGGCCTTCGTGTGGGTGGGTGGGTGTGGTGGGT